TTTTGCTGGTATTTCCTCCCCTCCTTTGGGCTACACCCATAGGCTGGGCCCCAGAGATGGAAGGGGGTCACGGATGGGGAGAGAGAGACAGATGTCTCAAGCTCTCTTTCCTTAAGAATGGACAGTGGTGGAGACCCCTCAGTTCAGGCAGTGTTATGTGGCCAATTTCCTCCTCCTGTTTTTTACAGGCCGGCCAGGCCGAGGCCGTCGAGCAACAGTGTAGTCAACCTATAAAGGGGGAACAGTGAGGAAAGACAAGTTAAGGCACAATTCACAATTTGGGGTGACAGCAACACTCCTTATTCCTTCCCTTACAAAGTGGTGAGGGGGCATCCTCAGGAGCACATAATAATAATCCTTGAGCATCCCTTCTGCAGTCTTTGTAAATGGCCCTCTGCAGCCATAATTGCCAAAAATCAATGGTATTTTTTCCTCCACACTGTAGTAGAAACTGCAGTAGGAACCACAAAGGAGCTGTTTACTTCAATTTAAAAAGAGGCAAAACGCATCAAGAATGTACGTCAAACCTTAGGAGAATCGCCTCCCCAAGAAATACAGGCTTGGTCTATTTCACATTATCACCCATTCACCCATGAGAAAAAAATATATATTTACCAATGGGCTGGATCCTGGATCAATGCTAGGACCCCGAATCCGTGTAGTCTCAGGGCGGCCACTGGGCCGGACACCACTGCAAAGAGAAAATAGGACTAAGAATACAGGAACCAGGAGCGCTACTCAGCTGACCCTGAGGACACAGATAAACCTCCAGGTGCTGCAACGACCCTCTAAAACGGGTGTCAAACTCGATTTCATTGAGGGCCGCATTCAGGGTTGTGTTTGACCCTGGGGGCTGGGGTGGGCATGGCCAAGGTGGGCGTGGCCAGCTTGATGTCACTAATTGTCAGGGGCACCTGTGGTGGCCTGAGCACTCTGCCAACGAAAATGAGCTCCTGAGCCCTCTGCCGGTGAAAATGGAGCTTGGGGAGCACATGGGGCCTCCCTGGGCCCCGTTTTTGGCCATGACAGCCTCCTGCAGCCCTCCGGGAGATCCATCTTTGCTGGCCCAAGTGCTTTGCCAATGAAAACGGGCTCCCAAGCTCCATTTTCAGCTGCAGCAACGGCCTCCTGCAACCTTCTGCCAAATAAAACAGGACTTGGGAGGGCCGCTCCATTTTCGCTGGCAGAAGCACCACAGGCCGGTCCATCGACATTTCCAGGGTGGCTCTGTGGGCCAGATCTATGTGCCCCGCAGGCCGGATCTGGCCCCCAGGACTTGTTTGATACCCCTGGTCTAAAAGGATGCAAATGACCAGCTGTCTGCAAGGAACATAAATTCTTCCATTCCCCACTATCCTGTCAGCTGAAGAAACTTCTTGGATGAAGCTTACTGGTCTTAAAAGAGAAAACAAGAAAGTCCAGTTGCCTCCTGAAAAAGCACCTTTGGGACAACCATGATCTGGATGACTGAGACTATCTACAAACAGTAAACTAAGAAATAATCTCTGAGATATCCCAAGCTTGTCTTGAATTCTGCTATCTCTACGAATTCCGTCCCTTCTGGACACTGATTCTCACCTGCTTTTCCTCCTTCGGCCACGTCTGGCTGGTCGCCTACCCGGAGGGCCCTAGAGAAAGAAATGGGTTAGAAGATAAGTATCAGTTTTGAAGGTGTCAGCTTCCTAAAAGTACTCCAGAACTGGCAATAAGACCCTCCACACAATTTGCTTCATTGGCAACGCATGGTTTCACAACCAATTTTATAAGGATCAGATTATTCATTCAATTTAAGGAAAGAGTAAAGCTTTCCTAAACTTTTTTTCATTTCAATCTAAAAACAAAGTGGGAAAATGTAAGTGCATACACAAAGAGACACCCATAATTAAATGCTTCCTCACGTAAGGTATGCACAATATTAGATAATCTGACACATCGCTACGTGGTTCTCCTTTTCTCTACATGCATGGGTTTATATTTAATATTGTTAGAATGAGGGCAAGTTATTGAAACAGCAACACATACATACCTCCCCCATAGTCTGAAGAGTCCAAAATTCTTCCTGAGTAAGCTTTAGAATAGTCTTTTACTTTAAAACCAAAGTCCTCTGAAGAAGGAGCAATCAAAGGAAACAAAACAATGTTTGCGTTCACACATCACACTAAGCCATAATATCAGTCTTATCCCACTAGAAGCTGGTTATGACCTGCAAACCCTCCGCTATTTGCGCCTATAATCTAACCTAGGGGTGTCAATCTGGCGGTCTGCAGGCCGGAGGCGATGCTCAGCCCCACAAAGGGAAAAAACATCGCGAAACATCACATGGCGGCAAATTGACGCAGCGAGTTTGACACCCATGATCTAAGCAATCCCACAAGTTCCTCAAATAGGCTCCAACCTATGACCAAACCCCACAAGATCTCTATTAGGAGAGACTGGAGCACTAAATGCAGTTTCCCTCCAATTTGTTTACGTCTCACTAAGATGAAAAGCGGCAGCTTTCAATTTCTAAAAGCAAAGCCTCCTTGTTTGACCTCCATTTAGTGTGTGGAGTCAGCCATGTGTCAGGAGAGCCCAGGCTGGTTTCCAACAGTGCTGACATTAAAGCTAAGACAGCCGGAGGGGTAGAAAGCACTGCGAGGATCAGGGGCAACCTGTGCTTTTTGAGTAGGGGTGGAGAACCATGGCCCTTTTATGACTGGGGCAGTGGTGGGATTCAAATTTTGTTACTACCGGTCCTGTGGGCGTGGCTTGGTGGGCGTGGCAGGGGAAGGATCCTGTAAAATGTCCAGTCAGAGGTGGCATTTGCCGGTTCTCCGAACTACTCAAAATTTCCGCTACCGGTTCTTCAGAACTGGTTAGAATCTGCTGAATACCCACCTCTGGACTGGGAGACTTCAACTCCCAGAATTCCTGAGCCAGCATGGCTGGGAGTTGAAGTCCACCAGTCATAAAAGAGCCATGCTACCCTGGCCCCTGATTAGAGTGACATAAAACCCAAGCAGTTCTGGTTTGCAAATGAAAAGTTTAGCCTCGGTATTTATGACATATGAATCTTGCTAACTGTAGCTTACTTAACAAATCATGATTACGAAAATGATGGCTTAGCATAATGTATGAACCTAATCAATACTATGAAATCATCTGTCTAGTGGTCCAATAAAAGAAAATAAACAAAGACACACCATGAAGCGCTTTCTGGAGGACTATGGAAAAACTGGGCATCTTCCTAGCGGATCCGGACTGATGTAAAAAGAGCACTTACGATACACAGCTAGTGCTCGACTTCTAACCATTCATTTCGTGACCAGTCGAAGTTACCAACAGCATGGAAAACAATAATTTATGAGTGATCCTTATATATTGTCAGAGCATCCCCAGGGTCATGTGAACAAGACTGGGTGCTTGGCAACCAGCAGGCATTCACAACGGTTGACGTGTCTTCGGGTCGTATGATCCCCATTTGCAACCTTCTCAGCTGGCTTCTAATAAACGATCAACGGGGAAAGCTAGATTTGCTGAATCAGCTGTACTGATTTGCTTAACTGTGGCACACGCACGCACACACACACACAAAAACCCTCGTAAAATTGGTCATGATTCTCTTAACAACTGCCTAGCTTAGCAATGCAAATATTAATCCCAATTGTGGCCAGTGTGGGACCCAGGGCTCAAACTGGAGTTATCATTCACCTAAAGAAGAGACCAACATAGCTGCTTAGTGGACTAGATCAAAGGTCCTCCTGGTCCAGCACTTGGGGTTCGATAGAGTTGTCAATAAGAAAGTACCTCCAGAAAGCAAGTTTTTTTTTTCCCTTTTGGAGTATCTGGACAATTGTGGTAAAGCAAATTCCCTATAATTTCCTTGAACTCCTTCCTTGTTCCATCCAAGCCTTCCCCAACTGGGTACCCTTTAGTCATACTGAGACTACAACCCCCAGAATTCAGCCGGTTGGCTGGGAATCCCGGAGGATGCAGTCTCCAAACACCTGAAGGGTACCAAGTTGGAGAGGACCACTGAAACCCTTCGACTTACCTTTATCTCCTGAACAGCAAAAGGACCTGCTTGGGTTTCTTCACTGCTAGCCACCATTTCCCCATTGCAACGCCAGGTGGGATGCGAGAGATGTCCTGAGCCCAACTCAGGAAGTTGTCCATTGAAGTGCCGCCTGCCCCGCCCCCGCCCGCCCCCACGACGTCCAGTCTTGCTGCCCCGGAGTGATCCGCGTGAAAGACTGCTGGCAGAGTCCCCATTCAGCTCTTCTGGGCTACATCTGAGCCGCTTGTGGGGGGAGTGGGAACCGCTGGCTTCTTGCCCTGAGGCGGCCTCCTGCTCCCCTTGCCTGGCTGGCTCAAGGGCTCTGGGCGACTCTAAGGCACTTGTGAGGGCAGTGTCCGTGCAAGGGGGCAAGATAGCCTGGTGGCTTGGCTCAGTCTCTGGCACAGGGAGCATGCTGGACAAGGCTGAGGCTGGAGGCTCACTGGGTAGCACCAGTTTCTCTGGGGCACTGAAGCCAGTGCTTAGCTGGCAAACAGAAAGAGAAGAAACCTTCGTGAGATCATTTCAATTTTCCCTGCGGCATTCAGAGGTTGCATCTCCAAACGCTTTTCTGAATTTACATGCTGCCAAGAGGACGGATATTCGAATATTTACATTGCTGTTGAATATTCCATTTCTTGGGACTTTCTTCCTAAAGACCATTCATATCACACTCCATTGGCTTATCCTGGTCCTTTCTCATCTTTTAACCTTTCAGAGAAACAACGTATTGGACAGAAGCCTGGCCTTTCTGTTGCTGGCTGCCTCTGACTCAACTGCGCTGCTCTTTTGCTGGCCTTTTCCCCCTGGCTCCAATTTTTTCTTTTCCTTTATCCTTTCTGTCTTACTTATCTAACTTTCTACTCCTTTTTTCCTCCCTCCCCCCCCCTCCTTGTAGTTTCCTACTTAATTTAGTAACTTTTCTCCCTGTGATCTGATACTGCTTCCTCCATCTTGAAGGAACAACTTGAACAAACAACGTCTAGTTAGTTCACACACGCCAAGTACAGTAGTAAACATGTTTCAGAATATATTGGTTTGTTTAGGAAAACTGAATCCCAACTGGGAAAGAATAGGCCCAATAGAGGAGTAACGAGATTCTGCTGTCTCACTGCTTTGTTCACCCCTAAAACTTCTATGAGCCTCACTTTAATATTTATTCAACCAGTTAACTGAATCCTTAGTGGCCCTGGGTTCTGCTTGTTGCTTTTGAAAGCTACATCTGCCCTCCTCCATGACTTGATGAGGGCACCAACCTGGCATTATCACTGAAACCCAGGGGAGGCTCAAAGAAATATACCCATCTTGATTTCAGGTTTTGCATACCCTGAAAGGGCAACAGGAAAGGTGGTGGATAAACTTCTCCACTTCATCAGTTCCAAAGAAGGATGGGATGGGACACTGAAAAAAGCATCCTATTCTTGCTGGTATGTTCTTCTTTTGATGCAATCCAACAACAGTAACTTTGTGAAACCTTTTATTTATTTATATGCTCCTTGCCCATATAATTTATGACTTAGGGAGGAATGTATTCCAAACCAGTCTTCCTGAGAGCTGGTAATAAGGATTGGCTCTAACTTCCTTACAGCTCTGGAAGAAATTGATTTTATTCATTATTTGTTTTTTTATCGTCTGCCCATCTTACCATAGAATAACTCTGGGCAGCTTACGGGTTACATCTTAGTTAAAACAAACGTGTTAAAATCAAACCTTAAAACCAAAGACACATGGGGAGGGCGGGAGCAGAGGGGGGGGGAGGGAGGATCTGTTATTAATCAACTATCTCCACTGCGCTGATCCCCACACCGGGGCCCCAAGCCGATTGGCACAGCCACAACTTTAGGCTCTTACGAAAAGATTGGAAGGTTGGGGCCAGAAAATTCTACTCCTTCTACTATTGCCCACACAACAATTTGTTCACACTGATATTTGCACACTGGACAAGACTCTGATCACATTGGCTGGTCAGTCGGGGATTGATAAATACATCGGAGTATCACCTGCATACTGATGACCCGATTCCGAACCAACAAATGCCCTCCCTCAGTGTCCTTGTATAAACAGGTGAGGTGAGAGCATGAAGTCTTGGGGCGTTCTACAAATTGAAGTTTTCAGGTTCAACCCTCTCTTCCTCTAACTAAAACCAACAGGAACTGGCCACCCTATTTCTATTTCTTACAGCCACACGATATTTTAAATGTTTGAGGGAAGTACAACAGTATCCAACAATTGTCACAGGAAATACAGTAATGCCCAACATCTGTCGATCATAGGTAGGCTAGAGTAGAAAATTAACTCCACAAGGGAGACTAAAATTCCTTTTATTGTGATGGGTAAAACAACAGAATTTTGCCAGTCGGATTATGTAGTAGCTCCTCCTTCTATTTATACTTCAGTAAATTAAAAAGTGTCTAAGTCACTTCTGAATATTATCTCTCTGTTGTGGACTTAAAACAAGTTTCACTTTTCATTAACTTAGCAACAGATCTTGCGTATCTCCATCTAGGCTGTTCTTGCTCTCTACTGTCAGATATTGCAGGAACTACTAGCCGAGGGTTGCTGTGTTTCTCTTGAAAATTTTAAATATAATGCAGCATCCCAGACACACGTTTTGGGAACTTGGGGCAATGACAAAGTTACTAGGACCCTAAGGATGTTGTGAACTAAGAGAGTTTGAGAATCACTGTTCTTCACAGGAGTTGATCTTGAGGAAGGAATCACTCTAAAAAGGATAGCTGGCTGGCAATCAGCCAATGCAATAAAAACTGCAGAAATAATCAAATGTCACCAATCTTAATCCAACAGTTTAATCCCTCATATGGGTCCTTAGGCATGCTCAGCTGGTTCACTTGGTAGTCTTCCTCCAAGGGTTCTCTAGGTTTCTCTGCTGACATTTCATCTTTTGGAGTTTCTTGGAAAATCTAGCTCCTCCTCATTCTCCCTCCGTGGGATTAGCAATAACATTTAGACTTGTATACCGCTTCACAATACTTTACAGCCCTCTCTTAAGTCGTTTAGAGTGTCAGCCTATTGCCCCCAACAATCTGGGTTCCTATTTCACCAAGTTTGGAAGGGTGGAAGGCTGCGTCAACTTTGACTCGGTGAAGATCGAACTGCTGGCAGTTGGCAGAATTAGCCTGCAATGTTACATTCTACCCACTGTGCCACCATGGGTCCTCATTATTGTACAGTGAGAGGCTGCGTAAGAACGACCAGGTCCAAGGCCCTCAATACCTGGCCATTCCTGGCACAAACAGAGGTCTCCAACATATGACCTACCACACTCTCAGGAAAAACCTCATGTGTCCTCTGAAACTCCTTCCGGTTCATCAGGCACCTGGTGCAGATAGCCTAATAAGAGCTGTAGTGGCACAGTGGTTAGAATGCAGTACTTCAGGCTAATTCTGCAGGCTGCCGACTGCCAGGAGTTCGATCCTAACCTGCTCAAAGTGGACTTAGCCTTCTATCCTTCCGAGGGCAGTAAAATGAGGACCATTGTTGTTGGGAGCAATAGGCTGACTCTGTAAGCCAGGGGTCCCCAACCGCCGGTCCGCGGACCGGTACCGGTCCGCAGAACAAGTCTTACCGGGCCGCTGGTTGCTGGGCGCCGCCATCTTTTTTTGGTAAAAAAGTGCTTCCGGTGAGCTTTTCTGGGTAGAAAGCTTACTGGAAGCACTTTTTCATCAAAAAAAGATGGCAGCGGCAGCGCTTCCGGTGAGCTTTTCCGGGTAGAAAGCCATTTCTACCCGAAAAAGCTCACCGGAAGCGCTGGCGCCATCTTTTTCGTCAAAAAAGATGGCGGCGCCCAGTTGATGCCGGTACCGGGCCGCGGCGCCCAGCTGATGCCGGTACCGGGCCGCGGAGTCAAAAAGGTTGGGGATCACTGCTGTAAGCTGCTTAGAAAGGGCTGGAAGGCCCCGTGAAGCGGTATATAAGTCTAAGTGCTATTGCTTATAGGTCATACCCTTTTGTAAGGGGAAAGGGAAATTGCACAGGCACACCAACAAAGAGTGATCTAACCATGGCAAAGGCCTGATGTAATGTACTCCTCCTTACATCATATCACAGCTACCCCAAGGACCAGAAACCAGATTTAATATGTGATGATATTTGACGACTGGGTTGCCATGAGCACCTTAGCCGTCCCAGATTCAGTACCATCAAGGAGAAGGTTACAATCCCCAAAGACTATCAATCCCAGGGAATCAATCCCTAACCTGGCAATTGAATCGATAGTCTTCATGAGCTCCTTTGAACCACCCTATATTGTCCTTACAGATATTTTTTTTTTTTTGCTTCAAGCTTAATCTATGCACAATTCCAATTTGCAAAATGCACTACTCTTGAGTACACATTTGGGAATGAAACCTGCTCTTTTACCCCAAGAATGGATGTTGCATATGAGAGAAGAGCTAAGCACTGCCCATTGCCCAGCCTACCCCTGAGGCTGATAGTGACACCCTGCTTACCTGTAAGCTCTGGAGGAGGCAAGCCAGCGGGTTGGAGCCTGCTAGTAAGGGCAGCTGTCCTTGGAAAAGCTGGATTCCGAGAGGCCCTTGCAGATTGGGTGGCAAAAGAGGCTGCTGGGCCTGGAGAAGAGGACTTCCCATCAATGAGGGGCCTGAAGCTGGATTCAGGGATGGAAGGTCACCTTCACATGGGCAAAAGGGGGGAGAAGGTCAGCTCTGCTGCTGGCATATAGCTGTCATCAGCACCAATCCCAAATATTTCCAGGGGTACTAGCAGTAGGCCTTTGTACACCTCCCCTCTCTCCTCCAAACTTATAGTGAACTTGCTGGAAGGTCAGGAGGATTTTATCTGCTATCCAATTTTGGCAAGTCAAGAAGGTATCTGAAAGAGACATCTATCTACGTGCACACAACTGCTTTTGTTTGTAAGGGATTAAAGCAGGCACACGGAGCTGAACTGAAGAATCATCCCTTTACAACTATTCCTGCACAGGCAGAAGTTGCGGCCAGTAAGTATAACTCTATTCCCTCAACCACCCAATCATATCAGCAGGGGAATGCCAAAAGGGCCTGCATAGGGAGAAGCAAATGGTTGGCATATCCACATTGGGCAAAAGCTTTCCTCAAACTGCAGTTCTCCACAGATAGTCCATGCTTACTGATGCCTCGGTCAATGACGGTTCAAAGTTATGATGGTGTAGAGAAAACCAGCTTGTGCTTGTGACCAATCCTCACATTTATGACTACTGTGGCAACCCATGGTCACATGATTTGGGCACTCTGCAATCAGTGTGCATTGCAGTGCTCCACGGTCACACGATTGCTATTTGTGTGACTTCACCACCGGTTTCTGACAAGCAGGATTAATGAACAGCACAGGAGTAAAATCACCAGCCATGGTCACAGGATGCCTCACTTGATGACTGGAAAATCGCTTAACAACCAAAGAGGAAGTGAGATCCTAAGCTGGTCACAATAGTGCGGTTGGTCTCAATTGCGATTGATAAGTGAGGACATGCATAAGTCCAATTATCTCCTGCCAGGAAGAATCAGGTTGGAGAAACGAAGAGCAAAACTTTAGAACACGGGTGTCAAATTTGCCACATCACGTTGCTGTCCCATGATGTTTTTCCCATTCGTGGAACTGGAGTGGGCGTGGCGCATCCAGTTTGACACCCCTGCCAGTTTGACACCCCTGCTTTAGCACAATAGGACATCTGTGGGGGACAATCTCTTTCTGCTTAGGGGCAGAAATATCTTTCACCTTTGGCATCGGACAAGAGGATCATCAACTCACCCAGAAGTGTGGTACTCAGCAGCGGATTGACAAGCTGGGGCAATATGGGATTCAGCCGCCCAGAGACACAGGGGGTCCCCTCAGTAGTTGTCGGTGTGGTGTTAGTGGAGGTAGGTGCCACGGGAGTGCTAGCCAGGCCAGTCTGGGATGGAAGGACAGGAAAGGTCTGAGACAGGAGAAGAGCCACCAGGAGAAGCCCCTCGCATGACTTCAGGAGAGAACTCAAAGCTGTTGCTCAGGCTCAGCCACCAGGTTTGACCCTAAACAGGGTTTCTAGCCTTTAAAGCAGGCGCAGAGCTCTTTAAATATCGGTTCTTTCATTATCCAACAACTAGTTCATAACACTCAATGCGTCTCCTTGGAACCACACTTCCTTAATACATAAAGTCAACAGATCAGTATTACCTCCACAGTAGCTGGATATGCCTTGTGAAGACTTTGCTAAAAAGCAACTATACTCCTTCCAACCTTTCATGTTCCTAAGATAGCCTTCAACCTACGATCCAATCCCACCAGATCTTTATAACGAGGGATGCACTTCCCATCCGATCCCACCGCATCTCGATGAAATTAAAAAAAAACCTAAAAGCAACTGGCCTCTTGCGTAACCTTCTTACCTGCGTAGGGATCGGTCCTGTGTCAGAAGGGCCCAGGCCGGTTGCCAACAATGCTGAATTTAAAGCTAGGACAGCTGGAGGGGTGGAAAGTGCTGGGAAGAGCAGGGGCTGCAGAGTGTCAGGCAAGCCGGCGAAGGGCTCCAACAATGGCTCCGTGGTCGCCGCTTCCCTCTGCCCTTCGCAAGCCGCCTCTGGCAGCGCCAACAGGGATGCCAGGAGCCCACTTGGCTGTTGTAGCAAATCCAGGCTGGGCAGCACCAGAGGCAACAGGGGCTGTCCGTCTGGCTCCTCCTGCAGGTTAAGAGGGGGAAGTGGTGTCTCTGGGCCCAAGGTCAGCGAGAAGGGGAAGGAGCCCAGCGGGAACAGCCCAGGAGGTAGAGCATTCCCAAACGGCAGCGCTTGCTCCTGTGCCAGGAAGGGGAATGGATCGGGGCCTGCGGGCAGCGGGCAGCCCACGCCCCCACCTTCCACTGTGCTGGTGGTGAGAGTAACAGGGCTGGGGGTGGGAGGGGCTTTGGGAGTCATGAGTGAAGCCGAAGCAGCAGCAGCAGCAGCAGCACCTGGAGGAAAGAAAACAAAGGCATCACCAATCACAGGAATGGCCACACCCCTGCCTCAAGGGATGCTTGTTCCCAGAATGCACTGCACTTGGGAGAAGCCCTTTGCAAAAGCTCCAAGCCCGAATGGTCATCTGTAGCCAAACTCTCAGCAGACACCACTTGCTCCACTTAATTCCTTACACGAGTACTTAGAGTGGACAATGTAGGCTTGCGAGCAACGTTTTGGGATGCCAGTGTTCCTGAATAATTAAAGGGACACGCAGAGGGGAAAATTCATCCCGGTGCAACTTTCTAGAGCGTGGGTGTCAAACTCAAGGCCTGCGGTCCGAATCCGGCTTACATCTAGCCTGCAGGGCCACCCTGGAAACATCGGACTGGCCTGCGGTGCCTCTACCAGTGAAAATGGAGCTTGGAAGAGCCATGCGCAGCCCCCATGAGCTCAGTTTTCGCTGGCAGAGGGCTGCTAGGAGGCCATCGCAGCTGAAAACAGATGTTGAAAAGGCCACACCCCACGTCCTCCCCCCACCCAAGGTCAAACACAACCCTGATGCAGCCCTCAATGAAATCGAGTTTGACACCCCTGTGCTAGGGGCTTAGGAGTTTCATCCTTTCTACCCTTCAGCCTCAGAGTTAATTAATTGTGCTTGAATAATTCTAATTTAATTCAGAGACCAGTAAAATCTTTTATAAGTAGAGATCACCACTGAGGTACATATCAGTCAACCATTTGGTCTTGCCTGTTTCTCCTTTGATGAGGCATCAACTTTTAAGCCTGAAGTTTTGTAGGCTTTGCTTTTGTTGGAAAAGACCTTGAGGTTGGGAAAGATTGAAGGCAAAAGGAGGGAGGGGATGGCAGAGGATGAGATGGTTAGATAGTGTCATTGACACAATGGACAAGGATTCGGGCAAATTCTGGGAGATAACAGAAGACGGGCCGTGCTGTGGTCCACGGGTCGTGAGGAGTCAGACATGAGTGAGCAACTTCAAAAATACTTTGTTTGGGTTGACAGGATTGGTTCTCAGCACTGATTTGCAAAAACACAGTTTTTGGGTTAGCTTAGTATAAACCCACTCGACTGTAGCTTATTCAGCAAGCCTTAATTAAAACAAAAGTGGTTTAATATAACACATGAATCCAATCAATGTTTGTTTTACATTATAATTATGTGTGTTACTAGGGCAGCATTGGAGAGCTACTTTTCTCAAATGTTGTTTTCCTTTTTTTAATTTTCCCTACTATGAATGACATTGTTTGGGGGCATGTGGGGTGGAGAATGCACCTTCTACACTTGTCCCCATGATGGAAGGAGAGGGGAATATATTAGATAGAACGGGATAGTGTTAATGGTAGGACTAACCACTCCTCACCACTGCTCCTCCATTCCTCAATCTGTAAGTTTCAAGACGGGAAGATAAACAATTTAACTGGCACATCTAATCTGGTAGTAAGAATCAGCAATTTATCTAACTGCAAAGGATTAAACCATGGCTACTTGTTCACTGTGCCGCACCACAACAAAGGTTGGCTTGAGTAAACTTTTACAGAATGGGGTATACCATTCTCCCATAGCTATTTCTGTCTGTATAACCTTTAACAAAACAAAGGCCTATATTCAAATGCCCGGTTAATGGGCACCTCTGATTATTTGGTGCCCACCTCCTCCATTTCATACCTATTTCTTTTGCCCAAACATTAGCCTGTTGTAAACATCATTCAAACCAGAATCTGTAACTGGAGAAAAGCCTTCATTATAAATTCAGGATTGCATAGCCTGAACTTTGCATGATCAGAAAGGATCAGGCGGCAATCCAGCTCAGGCAGGGCCTTTTGCTTCAGCAGAGATAAGATCTGTTTTCCCTGGCCAAGAAAAGGAGGCAAGACAATCACGGGGCCAGCAATTCCCTCCCTTTTAAAATTTCCCTTAAAAGAGAACAAGCAGCAAACTCTCCAGGCGCCTCAGACAGCTGTCACTCAGCTGCAGCTCCCAATCTGGGGAAAGACAAAAAACTCGAGGACAGCTACGTCCACCTCCATGTGTAGAGACCTACCTGGGGGTCCATGGGATGCAAGCGGGGAGGTGGGAGGTTTCGGCTGTGGGGAACTCCCTGAGATCTGTTCGGAAGACGTGGAGGCCAGCTGACCAAAGAGGCTGAGGAGTTGGCTGTTGAAGTCCTGGAAGGGGGGCAAAGAACTGGGGCCGTCGCCAGCAGGGGCCTGGAGAAGTGGAGGCAGGCTTGGCGTAGGTGAACTCCCGGGAGGAGCCAGCAGACTGAGCAGAGAGGCCAGCGGCTGTACCGGGGCGGCTGCACTTGGGGGTCCATTCTTGGCCTCTCCTCCGGGAGGCTGGTCCCGAGGCCAAGAGTGTCGGGTCAGTGCCTCCTCAGGGTGGGTGACCCCCGCCTGCCCTGCGTGGGAATCCTTGAGCAGGCGCAGGACAGTGGGGGAGCGACGTTGCCGCCGAGGTGTCCGCCCGCCCACCACTGACAGCAGCAAGCGGTTGGGTAAAGTGCTGGCAGCCAGCTCGTCAGGACGCCCCCTGCTGGCCAGCTGGGCCTTGGCGGCTGCGCTCAACAAACTGCTGGCTGGGAAAGAGCCTGGGCCCTGTGGAGGAAGGAGCAGCAGGCCAGGCGGCCCTTTGCCTTCTGGGGCAGCTCCTAAGGGCACTGAGGGCAGGTTATTGCTGCTTTGGTTGGTTAAGGCGTTGGTCGGGGGTGCTGCGTCCAAGCTGGAGGGCCTGGAAGCCAGGCGGTGTCCAGAGGGGCCCTGCTCAGAGGAGGCGGATGAGGGCCGTGACCGCTGTGGAGAAGGCTCAGCGCTGCCTGCTGATGAAGACACGGAGGAGAGGCTGGTGGGGGCAGGTGAGCCGGCAACACTGGCTTGCGACCCAAGAGGGACGGAACGACCACTCCAGGGGCTGCTCTCTTGACCAGACCCCACCTCATCCAGCAGGGGGAAGAGGAAACTGTTGGATGAATAGGGCCGGGGCGAGGCATCTGCTGAGGTCTTGCTGGGTGGAAAAGATCCCCCGGCAGCATTCAGTTCAGACGGAAAGGCTGGGCGGGCACTGCCATTGACAGTGGCCGGCAGACGGCCTGGGAAGCCATCCGCAGAGAAAGTGTTGTGAAGGCGGGGAAAGGAAGAGCTTGGACCAGACCAGGCACTTCCATAACGATCAGAGGAACATTGCAAGGAGAGATCTGACCCCTTGGGCAAGCTGGTTGGAGCTTTGCTGGAAAGAGTCTGCTGCAGGCAAGTGCTAGGCCCTGGCATGGCCGGGTGAGATGGCAGAGTCATTCCAGCCCCTGTAAATAAGAGGAAAAGGTGATTATTCTCCAAAAGGAAGGGAAAAAAAATAGGAAGCCCCAATTTATACCAAAAGGCTGGCTAGCTGCTTCGATGGAATGAGAATGCAGAAGATTAGGTAACTGGGGGGTGGGGGATAGGAAGGGGGGAACCACCCTAAAATCAAGCTTCCTTTAAACAAATTGGGACATCCAAGTTTTTCCACCTCAGCAATAAAATAGAAAAACCTACCATCACATTTCACACCTTCAGAGGCCTCCTTGGTCCCCATTTTAAGACACAGGGTTTGTTTTTTTTACAGTTGTACCACTAAGGCCATTATTGTGGAATTATTACTATCAGTGGTATTATCATTGTTATTTATGGTTTTTATTTTTGTTGCTTGTTGCTTTTAATACTATGCTCGCCACCCAGAACCACAGTTGCAAGCCATATTAAATCCATAAGATTATTGTAAATTTTATAAAAGAAAAGGAAGGAAGGAAGGAAGGAAGGAAGGAAGGAAGGAAGGAAGGAAGGAAAAGGAAGGAAGGAAGGAAGGAAGGAAGGAAGGAAGGAAGGAAGGAAAAGGAAGGAAGATGGCATGGCTTCTGTTTTCAAGATTAATCCAGAATTCTTGATAGGCAGCAAATAAATTTTATAGAGATGGATGGATGGATGGATGGATGGATGGATGAGAGAGGGAGGGAGGGAGGGAGAGATCTTGGCATGGCTTCTGTTTAGAAGGTTAATCCAGAATTCTACTCAGACTCTTGTTTACCCCAAGCAAGAGACCAAATGAGAAGAACAGATGAAGAAGAGATGTACAAATAGAAAAACAAACCAGGCCATTCATCAAACAACACGTTACCTGGCCCCAGGTGTGGCAGGCTGAGGGGTCCATGGGTCTCCATGCTGCGATAAAGTGTTGCCATTGCTACAATTTTCCGCCGGTGATTGCAGAGCTTGGTCATGTCTTGGTCTCCCTTGCTGCCTTCACTCCCAATCACCATCGCTGCAGGGTCGAAGTTGAACACCTAACCATAACGGGGAAAGGTTTAATGACTGAACACCCAACCCTTCCCTCAACTGACAAAAGTGCTAGGGCAGGAATTTGCCCATTCTTTGGTTCTTCATAGTTGGAATGTAGCTGAATATCAGAAACCTCATGAGTTTCTCAGAAGGACTTTCCACTGGTTTTAGGGGGATTTAAGTGGAGGAGCACAACCTCCAGCCCCCGATAATACATGCTATGATCAATTAAACCTGTGTTTAACCTGAATGAAACGTAACCCAATTGAGTATTGTCTAGGCTTCAACTCTTACTTTTCTGAGCGCAAGCCACAGCAAGCTACTCAAAGACCAAGTATGGTGCTTGGCTTGGAAGAAGTGGCTTTCCCTGGCTTTAAGGGTGAGCGGGACCACAAAGCATTCTGCCTTCCTAGTCAAACGTGTACGTTTGAATTAAAATAAAAGAGCGTAAAATGAACCATTTAAAAAAAGGAGATTCAAATTGACAGTTTAAAAAGACAAATGGAAGTGTGTGTTTTGATTGCTGTTATAAAGAAGGGGGTTTAAATGTAATTGTTCAAAAATGCTATTCCACCACTTGGCTCAGTCTTTTTTTGGCCAGTTAAAAGAGGCTGAGAGTAGTGTGTGTGTGTTTAGAAGAGCCTCTCCCGCAGACCTTAATTGCCAAACAAGTATATCATGAGTGAGGGAGTCTGCCTGATATTAATAAGTCCTCCCAAAGCATATACCTTGTTGAGCCTTCCTCAAACTGGTGTCCTCCAGATGTGCCATAATTCAGTTTTCATATATACTTCCAACCAACAGGCAAGATTACAGAAGCTGGAAAGCTAAGGTGGTAAATCGTGTTCTTAGTTGATCTATCACCTGACTAGCAAGAAATATGTCCCAGTGATAAATCACATGCTTTGCATGTAAATGTTCCCAGGCTCCATTCCTGCCACCTGCACGAAGACTGAGAGAGACACCTGGCTGAAACTAGAAAGCTCTAATCAGCCAGCTAGAAAACCTAGAAGGGCCCACTGATTTGCTGTCAGAGTTTCCTACATGTCTTGTTGCGTGTTATTCATCCCTTATGCTTGAGGGGATTTGTTTCCACTTGGGCAAATAAAAAAATCCTACCCCAGAATCTCTCAACATTTGGATACTAATCAGCTTCTCTCCTAAGCCCTCGCTACCTTGTGCACGTTGAGGGGACACTCCAGTCCACACTTGCAAGTGCCGTCCGCCAGCAGATACGCACGAGTCTGCTCCAATGAAGCCAAGCTTGTCCCGCTAGGACTAGGAGAAAGAAAAGAGGGACAGGCCAGATTAGCACGAAAACAACAGTGGAGAGAGCAGGGGAGAAAGAAATACATAGTCGAGGGGGCAGGCTGTACCTGATATAGCACACTCTGCCCTCTTCCACCCTGCGCTGCCAGCCCACAGGCACGGGTGTGACTGCCGGGCGCCCACCTCGATCCACACCAGAGCAATCATCGCCGCCATTCATTGTGCTCCCTCAGCGCTTGGGGACCTGGAAGAACCCGTGGTGGTTAGGACGTAAGGCACCATAGTGGTCAAAGAGCATCAAGAGCAGCAGGAGGAGAGGATCCTCGCAACCGTAGTATTAGCGGGGGATGGAAATGTAAGAGATGGGTAACCTTAGTCCCAAGAGCTGGGGCTATATTCTAAGCTGAAAAGGATGAGGCCTACTTGCACAGGCCTGACAGCACTGAGGAGCTGTGGAGTCTTTAAGGCATCTGCTACCTTTACAAACAAAACATGAGATTTCACCCTTAGCTTTGCTCAAAAACCTGGCATCTGAAACTGGGTCCCCACCTCTATAAGTCTCCCAACTCCCCAGGTAAACCCTCTGGCGGAATAAACAGCCTGCCACTGAGCCTTTCCTATCAGGGAAAGGTGAGATTAGCTCTAGGACTGCAAGAGGCTTTGTGTCATGGGTAAGAGTTATTATTAGCTGAGCCAGCAACAGGATGGCTTCCGGCCAAGCTACACAAACCAACAGAATCACACTTTGGGGACTCCACCACCTCAAATTCCAGGTAGGAGGAAGTCCTGTTTTCTTTTACAATGGATTTTTTTTTTTAAAAAAAAAGGATAATAACAATAGCTCCCAATATAATTCCCTACTAATTTATACAGTCCAAAGTGGTACAGTCATAGAAGAGTTCACTCCTAGGATTCTATTCTAAAATTCTGGGGAGAGGCAGAAAGGTTGGGGTTCATTCAAAAGAAAGAGAGCAAATAAGTAGCTGGAAGAGAAGAAAAGAGGGAGGCAGAAAGGTGGCACTGCATGAACTAGGACACAAGTAAGACAAGACTTAAACCAGCAGGAAGATCTGAAGGGAGTCAGAGAAACAGATTTACATTATCCAAGTCCCATCACCCTCTCCTCTCCCAATTGAGCGGGCTCTGCCCTATTAAAGAAAATTAGGAGAGTCATGAAACAGTAAACAGCTGGCTGATCCTTTAATCCAGCTCTACTATGCAGATGGCTCCTACCTGCTCATGGCTGCAAACCTCGCGGCAGGCGATATTAAGGCTGGGTGTGTTCCCTTGAGTCACTCATAGTCAGTCCGGTGGCCTCTCTTCTGAGAATCCAGATGGTGTCCTGTCCAGCAAGCTCACGCCACTCAGGAGCCACACTAGCCTACCCCTGGAAAGGAAGGAGAACATGACTCAAGCGAGGAGAAAGAGGGAGACAAGATTCTCTACAATGGTTTTGATAGAAAATATCTGGGTCAAATACTTTTTCGGGGAGAGATATGGGGGTGGGGGTGGGGCTAATGTTAGAACACCATTCTAATGTGCTACTATTCCAGTCTGGGTTAGTAAAAGTTCTTGTTACTTTAAAATGAATCGCATTTTACTATTTGGTGTGGTACAAGGAAGTGATAGATAAACGCCCAAAGAAAACAAGGCCTACCATTAGATTCCTCATTATTATGGAAGATTAAAATCCCAGTTTAAAGGGCGGGGGCGGGGGGAATGGCATATTTGCCAACTTGAATGTAAACAGAGCTTAAAATATAAGGTCGTGGCAACTCTTGGGAACTGACTGCATGTATTGATACATATGATCCATATTGTACACCATTGGATCATGCTTGGTGAACATAATCTGCACAAATGTACATCCATAAGAGACAACAGTCTAGAGATAGTCAACTTGGAATACACTGATATTTTGGATAACCGTTCCCGTATGCCACACAACCAGTTAACATGGCCAGAATCAGGGATTCTGGGCATTACAGCCCAAAGTGGACTACAATGGGGGAACCACCAGGTTATCTCCTGTTCTTGGACTAGACCAGGGGTGTCAAACTCAATTTCATTGAGGGCTGCATCAGGGTTGTGTTTGACCTTGGGGGGACGTGGTCAGGGTGGGCGTGGCTAGCTCAATGTCACTCATGTCAGGGGGGCCTCTGGTGGCCGGAGTGCTCTCCCAGCGAAAATGGGCTCCCGAGCTCCTGCAACCCTCTGGCAGTGAAAATGGAGCTCAGGTGGGCCACCCGCGGCCGTCCCAACCTCCGCTTTTGCTGGCATAGGCACCACATGCTGGTTTTTTTTGCTGTTTCCAGGGCAGTCCCGCGGGCCAGATCTAAACACCTTGCAGGCCGGATTCAGCCCCCGGGCCTTGAGTTTGACACCCCTGGACTGGACCATATCACTGCAAATTTTCTTAAGTAAACATGCAGGAGAATCCAGGTTCAACCTCTGGCATATTCAGCCAAAAAAATTATTGCCTAAAACATTGGCAAAACACGACCGTTGATAATACAGTACTATACTGGATTAGTTGGACCAATGGCCTGATTTAACATAACACAACTTTCTATATTCCTCCTGGCAAATAAACATTTAACCAATGAGAGGAAAGAGTTTCAGTCCAGCCCATTCCACGTTGCGTGCAAAAACCAGAAATCATCTCCATTAATCCAGACTCCCTAAGAATCCCTAAGTGCATGACTTATAATGACTGGCATAAAAGCAAACCAATGGCCAACTGCTTTGGCTGCACATCTAAATCATATGCTAATTTTTCTTATTCATAAGAGTGGCATTTCTAGGCAGATACGAAGTTGTAGACAAGATACTGGTTTCTCCTATGCCACAAAGAAAAGAAGCTTCTACAGGAACATGTCGATGCTGGCTGAAGTTTAGGAATGAAAAAAATCAGAGCGTATGAGTAATGGATTGGAGCTTTACAAATACATTCATTTGTTAGTAGCCCACAAAAAGCCTGTGGGCTAGTGGGCCATCTCCATATACATAAACTTTTTCGCCTATACAGACAACAAGCATTTATTTTTGGAAAGCTCTTTGGCTGATCAGCCAAAAGCAAATCTTTGTCATCTAAAACAATTAGAAGAAATGCTTATTTAGAATTCTGAACATTATTTACTTTATTTCTATCCTTCTTTTATTATTTTTACAAATAACTCAGGATGGCAAACATATCCAATATATCTTCTTTCTATTTTCCCCACAACCAACCCTGTGGCTTGGCATGAGAGATAGAGTGACTGGCCCAAAGTCACCAAGGTGGCTTTTATAGCTAAGACAGAACTTGAACTCACAGTTTCCTGCTTGCTAGCTTAGTCTAAACTGGCTCTCACATTAGCTGAAAAATCTACACTCATCAGGCTAGTAGCCAAGGATTAAACGGTAGGGAGACACCATATTATATTTTCCTTCATTGCAGTTATAAAAACTGACCGAAAATGATAGCCCAATTCGAATTAATTACTAATGGATGAAAAAACAGATTAATTCCATCTATTGTGTGAAGCCAATATTTCTTTAACCATGGTTCCTGTATCAACCACAATTAAGCCAAAACCAAATGAATCACATGTATATAGTTAATACACTCTTAATATGCTATGAACCAGATGCTCTACTTTTAGTGCCTTGAACAGTAGCCTGGCATGCAGAAAACACAAAGGAAAAAAGAGAATCTGTATTAATTCTACAGATCAGGTGAATGTAAAAAGCATAAGACAGGATCAGCCATTAAAAAGTTGGCAGTTCCTCTCACTACACATAAATTGATTAAAATATATCTAAAGAATTTAGAAATCCAGGGGAAAAATACTGGGAATGGTTAATAGACCTGCCTACACATTGATTGGCTCCTCCCATTCATTCACTGACAGAGCTAAAGGTTAAAGCAGTATAAAAACAGATTTCAGAGCAGGTGAATGTAGATTTTTTTTGTTTGTGAGGAAACATTTGAAAGCAATGCTGAAGCAATAGAAAAAATATTCCTCTTTCTTTTGAAACTATATGTGGTGTTCATCTTATACCTATATTATACATCTATATTTATTTACATTTTTAAAAAATACTATAAACAACAGGGGAAAATCGGAAGGATGTTCATCTTATCATCCTTAAAGAAAGCACTATTCCTGAGATTGGGCCCTGTCATACTAGTTACTCTCATGAGTGAAATTTAACACCTACATCTAAAGTGGCTGTCAATGAGGTAAGGACAGTTCCACATCCAAGTTAAAGTGCCCAGGCCTTGTATTGTCACTGACTAAGGCTTAGGCTTAGGTAGTTCTGTTGCAAAGAAATCAACAGTATGTGTATAGGTTTTAGTGTATATTTTATACTAAGTATATATTTTAAAGTGTTAAGATTTGGCCATATGTTTTTTTCAATATATTCAAGGCATTTGATTCTTTGGAGGGAGCTTGTTAAAGCAGTATAGAAAACTACACTGACCCACTGCAGAGGATAAAAAAGCAGAAACTATATGCAGGAACCTTATTGCCACAGTTTAATGGAAGTTGGCAACATGGGCAGGATCTTGTAAACGCAGGATAGATATCCTCCATTAGGACACAGATAGCCCTCAACTTATAACAGTTCGTTTAATGACCCTTCAAAATTACAACGGCACTGAAAAAAGTGGCTGACCCCTTTTCACACTTAACATTGAAGGATCCCTGTGGTCACATGATCAAATGGGTGGAAATCTGAGGACCAGTCCTAAGTACAGGTAGTCCTCGATTTACAATGGCTCATTAAGTTGGCTGTTCAAAATTACAACAGCCCTGGAAAAGGTGACTTATGACAGTTTTTCACACTTGTGACTGCTGTAGCATCCCCATGGTCACATGATCAAAATTCAGACACTTGGCAACTGACTCATATTTATGACGGTTGCAGTGTCCTGAAGTCACATGATCACCTTTTGTGACCTTCTGACAAGCAGAGTCATTGGGGAAGCCAGATTCACTTAACAAATGTGATACTAACTTAACTGCAGTGATTCACCTAACAAATGTGGCAAGAAAGGTCATAAAATGGGGCAAAACAACTCATTTAGCAATAGAAATTTTGAGCTCAACTGTGGTCATAAGTCGAGGACTGCCCGTAATAAAATGTATGCAGCAAAAAGATTAGACTACTCTCTTGATTTTATAACTGCACTCTGATCTAACTTTAAACAAGGCTAGCATTGTTTATGTTCTGCAAGGTGTGTTTACCTAATCTAGCTATTTTCAACAAACACATACTGCGCCTTTTGAACAATTGGTAATATTGTAGAATCGAACCTAGTTCTTTTTTTGGGTGGGGGGTGGAGAGGGGAATACAAAACTCTGTGCCTTCCAGTTGTTCTCAACTTCAGCTCCTCTGATCCCTAGCTACATAATAATTGCAATAATATTTTGGCAACCGTAGTCCAAAGTATCTGGAAGGCAGCATATTTTCAAATGCATCAATATAAATAAAATAAAATATCGCGAGACAAACAAGCCTGGATGAAAATTATATTGTACCATTAATTATTACTGCCTAGATTCCTGCAAGTTAATAAGAAATGGGAATTTTGCATAGGAAGCGAGTGCGGCTTTCAAACTTTTTAACAATTACCGAGGAGTTACCCTAGCTGATAAGCAAATTCCTGCTGAATAAGATCAAATGTGCTATCTAGTTTCCAATTTCCACCTCCCTAAAGATAATTGATGCTTGGATGGGAATAGCCAGAGCAATTCTGTAATCTGAAGAAAAGGATTCTAAGAGTTACCTTCTCTACTCTTGCCTTTCCCAACCTGGTGCCCTCTGGACCACTATTCCCACCATCCTCTTTACACAACACTGCTAGACAGAAATACTTTCTGCATATTTGGCCTCCGGCTTTCCTAAATGATCACAAGAAAGTTTATTAATCTCCTTTTATTTGGAACTCCTAGTGAATGAGAGTCAGGAAATGGTCCTAACCACTTTCCTGGTGACTTTTTAACCTTTCAATCACACTGGGAGGAAGTGAGCCCTCCTTTTACTTTTCTGCACACAGGCTGAAAAGATATCAACGCAAGGATGGGAAATACACAAACCGGATTCCAGGAGAACCCTCTTAAGAGAAATTTGTGGGGAAATATATCAGTGACATGCATCTCTTCTGTCTAACCCCCCCTCTTTTTTTTTAACCACCTGCAGTTGGGAGAGCCTGAAAACAGGAGCTGGAAACAGTACCCAGTAACCTTCTGCTACTGCCCCTTCTTCCTTAGGTCATAGACCCCTTGAAGGATGGCTGAACTTTTCCCACCATAGCAGTAACTGAAGATCTAGGAGTGGGGTCTGCGACCTCTTTCCCCCCTCCCACCCCCGCCCCCAAGTAGAGAGAACATAAGGCAACCAAGCACCCCGGCAACCTTTCTCCTTAGCTTTGTGCAATCGGGTTTAAAAGGGAATCCCCCTCCTTCTCCCCCAAAGCCATTATTCATTCCCTTTTGGTACAGGAAGAGTAGTAATTTAAGAGGTGGCGGCCAAATCGCCTTTTCCCAGCAGCTCCTCTTTAATGGAAAGCCTGGGCAACTCCGGCAGAAGTTTGAACTGTCAAGAGAAGCTGCAGCGGGAGATCGGCTCGACTCCGGGCACTCACGACTCCCCTCGCCTATGCCAAATGCACCCCTCGAGTCCGACTTCAGAGTGTGCCCGGGGCCCCTTTGGCACTTACCTTGGTTCATGGTGCCCCCTCCCCAGAAGCAGCTGCAAGCTCCAACTTGTAATCGCGTCTCTCCCCGGGGGGAGGGGGGGCTACGGGAGGCCCCCTCCCACCTGCGGTGGGTGCCGGGGGGGGGCGGGGGGTGGGGGGGGGGGGTCAGGGTGCAGAGGATCGCTGGTGCTCTCCACCCCCACCCCCCAGTGCCTACCTCACTCCCTCCCTCCCCCCTGGACTCAGTGCCAGGAAGAGGAGGGGGTAGAGCAAGGGAGCTTCCTCCCTGGCATGCGCACTGGGGGCCGGCTGAGGGTGGAGGTTGGGGAGTGGGGGAACAGCCCTGGGAATTCCGTTCCCGACCTCCTTCGCTCTGCGCTTAGGGCGCAGGGCTCGCAGTAAAATCTGGCCTGGGCCCTTTGGGTTGTTTTGAAGTCCCGGTGCGGAGATCGGAGCGGCACTCGCGGCAGTCAATCCTGTCGCCTGTTGTTTGCGGCCTGCCTTGCCTTGCCTTGCCTTGCCTTTTGCCCATTAGCTCTTAAGATGCTCGGAAACGAATTGCTTGTCTTGAAAGGCGCTTGCAGAGAGGTTTGGGTGCTTTTGGAAAGGACCCGTTCCCGTACCTCAGTGGTCTTTTAAATGGGAATGAAGGATGAAGTCCTTACATGCCCATCCTTGTTTTGAGTCGGAATGGATAAAATTTGTGTGTACTGTATATGCAACTACATTAAGTAAAGACTGTCTATAAGTTGATGGAAACTCCAGATGGTAAAAAGTTATTCTAGGGAAACTCCTCCCCATTCTGGGGAGAAAAGTAAAACCCACAGTTGTTCTACCACAATGGGCAGAAACTTCCAAGGAAGAATTAAAAACGAATTAATGCAAGTTGCCTAAAATCACAGGTATGAGATGGATGGCTATAGAATAAATATACAGATTTATTTAACCATGATATGCTCAACCTAATTGGCTGTATTTAGATAACTTACTGGACTAAAGTACCTGGGCAACAAACAGCTTTAAACAAAACCTAATTTTAGCCTAGCCCTTTGTGTGAAGGAAGCAGTTGTGTTCTCACTTGGAGAAAGTAGGGAATTAGCAGGAGAAAACTCTTGTCTCCATGCCTGTGCTGCTAGCTTCCCACAGGCATCTTACTGACCATGCTGCAAACAATACCCTGAATAGATTTCTCCTTTGATCCAGCAAAGAAGCTCTTTTTAAGTAACATTAAAATTACTTTGGACAAATGAAAGTGCCATACAATCCAGCATTCTGTTTCAAACTAACAGGGAAGGAGCCTACAGATTCTCATGCAGCTTGTCTCAACCTCAGAAGCTGAGGTAAACAATTAGCTATTAAGTAATAACTGATAGAGATCCAGTGCAAATAATTTAGCCTTTTTTCTTAAATGATAATTCGCTGTTTGACTTATGGCTGTGCATTCAAGGTATAGCGCAAGTGAGGTGTTTCCACTACCAGATACTATTTTATCTGGGATTTCGTTGGTGGGATGCTTTTCAGATGTTTTCCTAATTTAACAGAAGTTTAGGGTTCTGGATTTGATTCCCAAAACATGCTTTGAAGGCAAGAACATAATAGCTATCCAAAGTGCCGATGATCTGTGTGGCATAGAGGTGATAAAAGGCTGTACATATTCAGCTAATTAAGCCTGAGCACAATTGGATGTTAAACAAAAGAAACTGAAAGTTGAGATCAAAGCAATACATATCTTAATTATGAAAAAAATAATGAAACAGTAGAAATATGCAAAATATACATTAAGCAGACATTGGGATCAAGGAAAGGTGTCTCATAAAATGTGTTAAAAATGGATAAATAGGCAATTGTATTGGCATACCACCAAGCATGGTAAATTATGATTTGTGGTTCTCAGGAATGGAGCAGAAGCTGACAAAAGGTTATTTCATATTAAATAATTCAAAGGGAAATTATTTCTACAAGGCTTGATGACTTATACTCCATAAATCATATGTAAGTCCAATGCACTATCCTTCAAAGGCATCCAACAATATTCTAGCCAAAATAAAAATATTGTTTTATACAAGTAGTCCTCGACTTACAAGTTTGTTTAGTGACCATTCAAAGTTACAATGGCACTGAAAAATGTGACTTATGACCGTTTTTTCATAGTTACCACCTTTGCGGCATCCCCATTATCATGTAATCAAAGTTCAGATGCTTTGCAACTGGTTCATATTTATGACTTTTGATGTGTTCCAGGGTCATGTGATTCCCTTTTGAAACCTGACAAAGTAAATGGGAAAGCCAGATTTGCCTAACAACCAGGTAGCTAACTTATCAACCGCAGTGATTCACTTGAGAATTATGGCAAGAAAAGTCGTAAAATGGGGCAAAACTCACTTAACAAATGTCTCACTGAACAACAGAAATTTTGGGTTCAATTGTGGCTATAAGTCAAGGACTATCAGAAGCAGACATCTGAGTTGGTCAGTGGTCATATTTGTGAACAGATGTCCAAAATAAAACATACAGCGTAGTTCTATGTAGGAGAATGGTGGTGGTGAGAAATCAGATCCAGTCATAATCCCAAAGTTCTTTACTGGATATAAACATTGGCAATTTAATAAAAAGCATGCTTTTTATTAACTTTACTGATTTTCTAATTCTAATATAGGTTATTAATATTCCCAATCTGTAATGCTGTAATTGTGACAGAAAGAGCCATATTTTAATGTGGATTTGTATGCTAGAGTTTTAGGGCCAAGTATATAAAATTTTCAGTTGTTTGATAATATACCCAAGGATTTAGAAGTTCTTGTGGGAGCTCTGAAGGTTCCCTGAAAGCTTGTCCACTCTCTACCAGACATCTTCTTAAGCAACACTGAGAGAAAACTGTATGTTACAGTGAGTATTTCTAGGGGATATAAGCTGTGCCAGGCCTGACTAGCATTTCCTACAAACAGTATGTCACCGTAGAATGTTTTGCAATTCAGAGCTTCACTTTCAATGCTATTTATCAGGCAAAATGATATATAGAAGTTTGCTGTTGGGAAACTGAGATTCTGGCTCACAAGCATAACAATCAAATGAAATGTCGAATTATTCAAATTACACTGCCAATAAAATAAAGGTAGCTTCTCAGATTCATTTTCAAATGAAATAATCATAATATCAGTTGAAAATTCAAGACCTTTTTAAAAATCAGATGGTTGTTTTATATTATAAATTACTTGCAGTTGCCTTCATTTTTATGAAACCTATTCAAGTGGTTTGAATCGCTTGATGAATGAATGAAACATTTAGGTGAGGTGCAACATTTAGATGTGACCAGTTAAAATGACTGGTTTACAATGTTCTGATTAAGAACTGCTTATTACAGAGAGCAGATTGTTTTCAAAATTGCAATCATTTTAGCGGAGTTGGGCTTTCTGGAATTCCTATGTGGCACCATTAAAAACCAAGGGAGAGAATGTGTTTTTTTTTTCTCTTTACAACTCTCGTTTTATTCAAAAGCAAATGCATACAGAGATTTATTCCTTTCAAATCCGTGCTATTATTCTTGAACCGATCGGCAGCTCTATTTATTTCATTTTCCTTTGCAAAAAAGGTGATGGTAATGACAATAATAGCACCAGACTAGCTGGGGGCCAAATACACTCTGGGCAAGGCCAGCTCAGGGGAGGCCCTGCCGCTGTTTCCCCAGGGAGAACTGGCCCTTTAACCAAACGGTGGGCGTGGCGTGACGTCATAAAATATGATCCTGGGGGCCTCCCAACGTAATTCGGCCTAGTTACTACTGGGAGACTTGGACACGGGCTCGTTGGAGGGGGGAGGAGGGAAAAGAGCAAAGGAAACAAGGCAGGCCCCGTAAAGGGGATCTAGGAGGGCCAAGGTCAGGACTCCAGCCTGGGCTCCCGCTGCCGTGACCGCCCACGGTTGCCAGGCCATTGCATCATCCCCAGCGCATGACTCACCCACTTAAAGACTCGTGACCCTGAAGGGAGGGGGGGACATTTCGGGAGGAGTCATTTCCGGGTGCGACGCGGCAGTATCCACCGCGGCGGAGCCGCGTCACCCAACACTGGAGAAGGCGGGGCGTAAGCGAAAGGACGACGACGGCCCATTGGGCGGCGGCTCCCTTCGTCCCGCCAATGGAAAGGCGCGGCGTCGCCCATTGGGCAGATATGGCGCAAGGGTTGCGTCATGCCGAGCGGGGAGGGGCGCTCTCTGAAAGATTTCTGGTGACCATCCCGAGCAGGAGGCATTTGGGAGCCGGTGGGAGTCGAGAGCGGGAGACGATGAGCCGCGAGAGGAGAATGAGCCGCAGCCAGGAAGTTGGAGAACGGATCGCGGGCGAGAAGGGGCCGCGTGGGAAGGTGCGGAGCCTGGGAGGGGAAGAGGAACGCCTGCGCTTTAAGGAAAGCACTTTTCGGGCGCCCGATGGAGGAGGGTTTGCATGGGTGCACAGCGGGTCTGGCGCTCTTAAGCCGGGCTCCGCTTTGCAAAGAGGCGCGGCGCTTTCGTTGCCTGAACCCCTGGCCACAATTAGCCGGTCCTTTCTCTCTCTCTGCCCGACCACGAGTTGGAAAAGCTCCTTTTCTTCGCCTCTTTTCCTGCAGGGCAGCGATAGTGCATAGATCCCGGCTTTCTACTCAGAGGTCGGGTGTGTGTGTGTGTGTATTTGCTCATCCCACGCACGCTCATTTTAAACAGAACGGGCTGCAGGATTTGTGTGTGCTGTAAGAGTGGGGGGGGGGAGTGTGAGTCTTATTTTGTATTATTATTATTATTAAACAAAAACACAGTTTCATAAGAAAGGGTGGGGTGGGGGGCATGTTGTAAAACCGGTATACGGTACAGGGCGTTGAGGATTCCCCCAAGCAACTCTCATTTCCTTCCTAGCAAATTGGAGTGCGGTGCCCAGATTTCCCGGGTGAACTTAAGGATGGTAGCTGGGCTTTTGTACTGGAGCCAAACCTCCTGCTTTTCCTGGCTTGCTTATTAGTTTCCAGTGCAGAGAAGGGAGAGCTGGTGGGGCTTGTTTTCTCTTCTAAAATAATTTGAAATTGTGGGCGCTTGGCCAGCTCTGAGGCTACATCCTTTCCCACAGCTGTGTGCTTGCTGTGGCTTGGCAAGTGACCCTGAGGACAAAGCATTTTTTATAGCAAGCTTCCCCCCCCCCCCCCCCCCAAAAAAAAATTGCAAACAAACT